ACAAATAATTTGCTACTCTGTGCCAGATACTATCTTGGTATGACAGTGAACAGAATAGACAAAAATCCTTGCCTTCCTGGTACTTAACGTTTTAGAGGTGAATTTGTATCCATGTTCACAAGTCTGCAAGGTCTGTAGTTTATTGTTTTCTTGCTGTTGTTCTGTTTGTTGGATATCAGGGTATTGTTGTTCAGTCACTCAGTCATGTCTGACTCTTTACAACTCCATGGACTGCAGCATGCCAGGCTTCCCTGTCTTTGACTATCTCCCGGAATTTGCTCAAACTCACGTCACTGAGTCAATAATGCCATTCAACCATCTCCTCATCTGCCTTCCCTTTCTGCTGCCCTCAGTCTTTCCCAGCATCAGGGTCTTTAGCAGCAAATAGTCTCTTCACATCATATGGCCAAAGTATTGGAGCTTCAGCTTCAGCATCAGTCCTTCTAATGAACTTTCAGTACTGATTTCCTTTAGGATGACTAGCTTGATCTCATTACTGGCCACGGGACTCAAAAGTCTTCTCCAGCACCACAATTCAAAAGCATCAGTTCTTCAGCGCTCAGCCTTCTTTATGGTCTAACTCTCACATCCATACATGACTGTTGGAAAAACCATAGCTTTGACTAGATGGACCTTTGTCTGCAAAGTGAGTGATGTCTCTGCTTTTTAATACACTGTCTAGGTTTGTCATAGCTTTTCTTCCAAGGAGCAGTGTCTTTTAATTTCATGGCAGCAGTCACCATCACAGTGATTTTGGGGCCCAAGAAAATAGTCTGTCACTGTTTCCATCTTTTCCCCATCTATTTGCCATGAAGTGATGGGACCAGATGCCATGATCTTAGTTTTTTGAATGTTGAGTTTTAAACCAGCTTTTTCAGTCTTCTCTTTTACCTTCATCAAGAGGTTCTTTAATTCCTCTTCACTTTCTGCCATTAGGGTGGTGTCATATACATATCTGAGGTTATTGATATTTCTTCCAGCAATCTTGATTCCAGCTTGTGTTTCATCCAGCCTGACATTTTGCATGATGTACTCTGCATATAAGTTAAATAATCAGGGTGACAATATGTAGCCTTGATGTACTCCTTTCCCAATTTTGGACCAGTTTTGTTCCATGCTTGGTTCTAACTGTTGCTTCTTGATCTACATACACATTTCTCAGGAGGCAGATAAGGTGGTCTGGTATTCCCATCTCTTGAAGAATTTGATAGTTTGTTGTGATCCACACAGTCAAAGGCTTTGATGTAGTCGGTGAAGCAAAAAGTTTTTCTGGAATTCTCTTATTTTTCTATGATCCAATGGATTTTGGCAATTTAATACCTGGTTCCTCCGCCTTTTCTTAATCCAGTTTGTACATCTGAAAGTTGCTGATTCACGTACTGTTGAAGCCTGACTTGAAGGATTTTTTTGAGCATTTCCTTGCTAGCATGTGAAATGAGTGCAGTTGTGTGGTAGTTTGAATATTCTTTGGCATTGCCCTTCTTTGGGATTGGAATGAAAACTGACCTGAAAACTGTGGCCACTGCCAAGTTTACCAAATTTGCTGGCATATTGAGTGCAGCACTTTCACAGCATCATCTTTTAGGATTTGAAATAGCTGAGCTGGAATTTCATCACCTCCACTAGTTTTGTTTATAGTAATGCTGTCTAAGGCCAGTTTGACTCACACTCCAGAACGTCTGGCTCTGCGTAAGTGATCATACCATCATAGTTATCTAGGTCATCAAGACCTTTTTTGTACAGTTTTTCTGTGTATTCTTGCCACCTCTTTTTAATATCTCATGCTTCTTTTAGGTCCATACGGTTTCTGTCCTTCATTGTGCCCATCTTTGCGTGAAATGTTCCCTTGTTATCTCTAATTTTCTTGAAGGGACCTCTAGTCTTTCCCATTCTATTGTTTTCCCCTGTTTCTTTGCACTGTTCACTTAAGGCTTTCTTATCTCTTGTTGATATTCTTTGAAACTCTACATTCAGATGGGTATTTCTTTCCTTTTCTCCTTTACCTTTAGCTTCTTTTCTCTTCTCAGCTACTTTAAGGCCTCCTCAGACAACCATTTTGCCTTTTTGCATTTCTTTTTCTTGGGGATGTTTTGGTCACCACCTCCTGTACAATGTTATGAACCTCCATTCATAGTTCTTCACGGACTCTATCAGATCCTATCCTTTGAATCTGTTTGTCACTTCCATTCTATAATCAGAAAGGATTTGATTTAGGTCATACCTGAATGGCCTAGTGGTTTTTCCCTTCTTTCTTCAATTTAAGTCTGAATTTTGCAATAAAGAGCTCATGATCTGAGCCACAGTCAGCTCCAGGTCTTGTTTTTGCTGACTGTGTACAGCTTCTCAATTTTCGACGGCAAAGAATATAATCAGTCTGATTTTGCTACTGACCATCTGGTGATGTCCATGTGTAGAGTCATCTCTTGTGTTGTTGGAAGAGGGTGTTTGCTATGACAAGTGCATTCTCTTGGCAAAACTATTAGCCTTTGCCCTATTTCATCTTGTACTGCAAGGCCAAACTTGCCTGTTACTCCAGGTATCTCTTGACTTCCTACTTTTGCATTCCAATCCCCTATGATGAAAAGGACATCTTTTTTTGCTGTTAGTTCTAGAAGGTCTTGTAGATCTTCATTGGAACCGTTCTTCGTCGGCATTAGTGATTGGAGCATAGGCTTAGATTACTGTAATGTTGAATGGTTTGCCTTGAAAATGAACTGAGGTAATTCTGTTGTTTTTGAGATTGTATCCAAGTACTGTATTTTGAATTCTTCTGTTGAATAGGAGGGCCACTCTATTCCTCTAAGGATTTCTTGCCCACAGTAGTAGATATAATGTTCATTGGAATTAAATTTGCCCATTCTTGTCCATTTTAAAATGTTCACTGATTCCTAAAATGTCAATTTTCACACTTTTTTGGATGTATAATAAGTAGAATTTATTTAAAGTACACAGTGCAATGCAATTGACATATATCTACACCTGTGAAAATATAATCAAGGTATAATAAAGTAATGAGCAAATCCACCATTCCCCAAAGTTTTCATTTGCTCATTTATAATTCATCCCTCTCCTCTGTCTCCTTTGTTCTCTCCTAGAAATCACTTATCAGCTTTATACTAATACAGATTAGTTTGTACTTTCTAGAATTTATATAAATAGAATGGAACCTGTGCTCTTTTTTTGATTGACTTATTAGGAAAATTATGTTTAAATCCACTCATGTTGCTGTATGCATCAGTACTTGATTCCCATTGTTGAGTAGCATTCCATTTTTCTGAATAGGACATAGTTTGTTTGTATTTTCACCTGTTGATGGATATTTGAATTTTTTTTCAATATGGGACTATTCCAAATATAACTTCTGCAAGTATTCAGATACAAATGTTTGTGTGCACATATGCTTTCATTTCTCTTGGCTAATACCTAAGAGAGTAATGACTTGATCTAAAGGCACTCCCAACATTCCATGTCTTTCCTTAGTCCCAAGCAATGAACCTGGGCACTTTGCCTATTGTATAAAAACCTTGCAGTTTTCTAGGTTCATTTAATACCCCTGCCCTTTACAATACAGTTGCCATATTCATTATAAGTACCTATGTTATAAACCCCACAAGATAACTATTTTTGTTTTAAACCAGTCTGTACATTTTAAGTAGAGTAAAATGACAAACTGTCTTTAATTTTACCAAGGTATTTACCATTTGCAATACTCTTCACTCCTTCTTGAGGGTCCACATTTTAAGGAATAGAAGTAATGAAGGTCTTTGGTGAGAAATCCTTAGTTTTTTAGTCTGAAATGTTTTTTTTTACTGTTGTTTAAAGGTTATTTTGTCCGGGCCTAGAGGAGGGTGGAACGTGTATTGCTGTTGTTATTTTCCAGCACGGCCGTGATATCTCAGTGTCTTCAGCCCTTCACTCCTTCGATGTTCACTCTTGCCATCTCCTGTTTGACTATTTCCAATTTACCTTGATTTATGGACCTAACATTCCAGGTTCCTATGCAATATTGGTCTTTACAGCACGAGCTTTACTTTCACCACCCGACACATCCACCACTGGGTGTCATTTCCGCTTCGGCTCAGCCTCTTCATTCCTTCTGGAGCTATTTCTCTCTTCTTCTCCAGTGGCATATGGGACACCTACTGACCTGGCAGGTTCATCTTTCAGTATCATATATTTTTGCATTTTCATGCTGTTGATGGGGTTTTCAAGGCAAGAATGCTCTTCAGGGTATTAGGGAATGAAATTAATTTTTCTCCACATAGAAAAGTTCGTATAGCACAAGAATCATCTTTATGTTCAAGTCTGAAAGAACTAATCTGTAAACTTGTATCTGGAAGTTTTGGGAGATAATTTGCAATATTTTTCTGTTTGTTTTATCTTTTATATCTTTGGATATTTCATACATACAGAGAGGCAATGTAGCATAGCAGTTAACAGTAAGGACTCTAGGAATTCCCTATTGGTCTAGTGGTTAGGGCTCCAAGCTTCCACTCCAGGGGCCTGGGTTCTTTCACTGGTTTGAGAACTAAGATCTCACATGTCACACTGTGCAACACTCCCCGCGCCCCCCCCCACCCCGCCCCCGCCTCCCAGAAAAGACTCTGGAGCCTAGCTGCCTGGGTTCAAACCTTAGATCTACTAATTGCTACATATAACTCTGGGCCTTGGAAAATACTATTCCTCTGAGCAAAGCAACAGTACAAAGGATTATACGGCAACTAGTTGTTTTGTGGTGGAAATATCTAGAAATACCTAGACTTATCATATTGCCAGAAAGGCATATCCTCTGGACACATCATTCTTCACTTGCTCTGTGATCTAGGGCTTCAGGTTTTCACCTAGCTAATGTGCAGGTGGATTGTATTGAAGGAAATTATGTGCTTTTAATTGTATACTTTTTACATGATAGATTTTTGGAGAAATAATCTGTATGGTTATTAGAACTGATTTTAAAGATGAGCTCTAATGGTTTCCATTTTGAAACCTTTTCTTTTCAGTGATAGCACTCGTGTTATATTTTATGATGCCTATCGTGAATGTAAGTGAAGTCCTCGGACCCTTGTGCCTTATGTTACTCATGGGAACTGTCCACTGTCAAATTGTGTCTACTCAGATAACAAGGCCATCAGGGAACAACGGAAATCGGAGAAGAAGGTGAGATAAAAAGTTACACTTGTGGTTGTGTATTTTCTGGGAGAGGCATTGTAGAACAAAATCTTGGAGTAAATTAATAAAAAGTCTTCCTATTTTGCATATATTTTTCATTATTTTTTTGGCTAGAAGAAATGAATGCTTTACTTTTACTTTTCTCCCTGATGCTAAAAAACTTTGTCATAAACTTTTAATCTGGAGGGGGTTATTCAGTACAGTTGTTTAAAAGGAAAATTCCTACACTGTATTATTCTTTACTAAAATTAACCTTCAATAATGATTTTGGTAAAGCATTCTTCACAATTCAGTCTTAAAATTTGGTGAAAATTCACTATATACAAGGATCTTAGTGTGTCTGATTAATGGTATTAATGTTCTTACCTTTTTGCAATAGTAAATAAATTGATTTCTATATGTTCTAAACTTTTAATAAAGATTTAACTTGTCTACCCATAGGATTCATGTCATGTCTTTACTGATCATGTGCTATGTGTGGGTCTTGGAACTGTTAAATGTTTTTAAAGTATATATGGTATTATCTTCCACAATTCATCTTTCCTTAGAGTACTGATAGGTTTTTGTTCCCACAAGGAGTTACTGTGTAAGATTTTTTCATTAGGTGCAAAGAATTTCAGCATATTTATACTTATTTTTGAATGTTATTTTATAAACATTTTTCCCCCTCAAGAAAGAATATTCCTTGAAAATTCAGTTTAATTGATTTAGTGTTTTCTAAAGAAATTAAACATTTTGCTGTGTCTTATTGGTATTTACTGGATATATCTTTTCACTGCATAGGATATCCAAAAAAATGATTGCTTGCTATTATTTCATGTTTCCCTGATTAAATGTGCCAAATGGGTAGATTTATGACAACTATATTTAAAGAAATTGCTCTTTTTTTTTTTTTTTTTTAGTGTTTCCTGAAAAGACTATTGGTCATTTACAAGAAAATTTTCCTACTAGTAATGTTTTTGAATAGCAGTTCTATTTCTTTAATGAATGAACAAAATGATACCCTTTGGTATCTTTGGAATCTGTTTTTGCCCTTAAATCAGAAATGTTCATGCATAATTTATCCTCATTATGAGAAGTTCATTGTACTTAATTTCAGGTGGTAAATGGTAGGGATATTCTAAGCAGAAATAGAAAAGGTCTTGAATAATCTGAAGTTGTTGAAATATTTTTTTGTAGAAAATTACGAAAAACTGTGAATGGTGATGGGAGCCGAGAAAATGGAAATAACTCCTCTGATAAAGCCAGAGGAGTGGAAACTTTGGAATCTGCACCCCTTAATGGTAGTTTTTGGAGGACTCTCTTTGGCAACAGGTGGGAAGTCTTATTAATACTTCCCACTTATTAATACTTCCCAATTTTCACATTTTCACCAAATTAATACTTATTAATGCTTCCTATAAAATGGAAGTTTTACTTGTTTTTGTGTTCACTTTAGTATTTGCATAGTATATAACCTGATGAGTTTTAGGAGTATGCAGTGTAAGCATATTATCATAGTGGTGTGAGTTTTTAAAGTTCTAGAATGGTTTGCTTATTCACAGTGTCACCAGTGTCTGCTATATTACCCATAAGTTCAGTTATCTACCATAAAAGTGTCAGTCTGTTTGATCTTTAATGGCTTTTTAGACCACAAGATTATGGAAATATAAATACTCTGAAAGATTAAATATTTTAACCCATATTGGCAAATGTCTTGAGAGAAAGAAGAATTTTTAAGAGATGAGGTATTTTTTCAGTGTGAAAGCTGATTCCTCTTTAGGTGTGGGATGCAGGGCAGGAGGCTGTTGTCAATGGGCTGTAGGACAGAAAGGGAGATGAATTTAGGGTAACTTCAACCTCCTTCATGATTTTGTAGGTCATGACAGTGGTACTGTGACTTGAAGAAGTACTTATTTTTGTCATATATTAATGTTTGTGACTCAAAAGTAAAGTGTTCTGCAGCTTCATTTTTGAAGACAAGTTGTGTCCACATATTTTTCTAAAGTTGACACAGTTTCGTTGAAGCATTTGAGTTCTTTGTGCTGAACATTGTGCTGGGCACTGCACGTTCCTCTTCTCAGTGATTTACCATCTCATTAGGAACGTAAAACTAGCAGGTATGAGGCAGTCACAGCAATGTAAAAACATCATAAATGGCATCATGCTGACTAAAGGCCATGCAGTTCAGCAAATGGAATGATCATTCTGGAGTGAGACAGTAGGCAGGAGTCATGGAAGAGCTGAGAGTTACTGGGCTTTGAAGGACAGAAGAGGGAAAGACATCCTGTGAAGTGGCAGAAACAGGCAATGTGAGGGAGGGGTTGGCTTTGTGTCTGAGAGGAAGACTGTGAACCCACTTCCTTGCAAAACCAAAAGGAACAGGATTCCTCTCAATTAACTGACCCAAGTCTTTGGAGACTAGAGAGAGAACTATATTCTGGCTTCCTACACCCTTAGGAAAGCTGGAGAGCCTGAAAAACACGCTTTCTGAATCTTCTTGATTTCCAGATTAACATATTCTACTCCTCAGAAGAAAAGTGGTTTCATGAAAGACACTACTTTCAGAAAACTAATTATTAATCATTTTTTTCCTTTAAAAACATAGGATGAAAAGAGTTAAATTAATATGTAACAGAGGGACGGAAACTGACTATGATTCAGGTTGTCTGCATCCTATCATCAAGAAGAGACAGTGTCGACCAGAGATCAGAATGTGGCAAACAAGACAGAAAGCAAAATTTTCCGATGGAGAAAAGGGCCATAGGGTAAGATTTAGATGAGTATAAATATCACCTGGTCCTTTTCTTGTGTAAAATTTTCTATTCTTAGACTCTACTAAAAGCACACAAAAGATTCTAATAGATTTGTGTCATTTGAAATGTAAAACCACAGAACATGAAAAGGAGAACACCTTGAAGTGTAATATGAAGATTTTACCTTATTCTTCCAATTTCTAGGGCCAGAGCTTGTTATTTTATCTGCCCCTGGTCCAGACTTAGGAGGAGGCTGGTAGATTCAATGAACAGATTGGTGTAGAGGCTGCCATGTCATCTTCCAGAGAGGCAGGGATAGTGTGTGTTAAGGTTTGGGAAAATATTTTTTTGTTTATATAGAGCTATTATTCTGCTTTATGTCTAAAAATAACTATACTTTTATGTTTTAGTCATGAAATATTTTCTTATTTGTTAGACTGTGGCATTTATGAATTATAAAAAGAGCTAATTTTTTTGAGCCATGACTGCAGTCAGGCATTATTCTAAGTGATTTACATGTAGTAACTCACTTAATTGTTTCAACAGTTCTGTGAGATAGATGCTTTTTTAAAAGATGTTTTAATTGAAGGATAATTGCTTTACAGAATTTTGTGGTTTTCTGTCATACATCAACAAGAATCAGCTATAGGTACACCCATGTCCCCTCCCTCCCAGACCTCCCTCCTACCTCCCTCCCCATCCCACCCCTACAGATTGTCACAGAGCCCTTGTTTGAGTTCCCTGAGTCATGCAGCCAGTTCCCATTGGCTGTCTCCTTTACATATGGTATTGTAAATTTCTCCACACATCTCCTCTTCTCCCTCCTCTCCTCCCTCCATGTCCATAGGTCTGTTCTCTATGTCTGTTTCTCCATTCCTGCCCTGAAAATAAATCATCAGGGCCATCTCTTTAGATTCCACATATATGTGTCAGTGTACGGTATTTATATTTCTCTTCTTGACGTACTTCACTCTGTATAATAGGGTGTAGGTTCATCCATCTCATTAGAACAGATTAAAATGCATTCCTTTTTATGGAAGGAACTCCTCAGGAAGGCTGAGTCGTATTCCATTGTATATATGTACCACAGCTTCTTTATCCATTTATCTGTCAGTGGACATCTAGGTTGCTTGCATGTTCTAGCTATTGTAGATAGTGCTGCAGTGAACATTAGGGTACACATATCTTTTTCCAGTTTTGGTTTCATCAGGGTATATGCCTAGGAGTGGGATTGCTGGGTCGTGTGGTGGTTTTATTCCTAGCTTTTAAAGGAATCTCCATACCGCCTTCCATAGTGGCTGTATAAGTTTACATTCCCACCAGCAATGCAAGAGTGTTCCTTTTTCTCTACAGCCTCTCCAGCATTTATTGTTTATAGACTTTTTGATGATGGCCATTCTGACTGTTGTTAGGTGATATCTCATTGTAGTTTTGATTTACATTTCTCTAGTAATGAGTGATGTTGAGCATCTTTTCATGTGCTTGTTAGCCATCTGTATGTCCTCTTTGGAGAAATGTCTCTTCAGATGCCTTTCCCACTTTTTGATTGGGTTCTTTGCTTTTCTAGTATTGAGCTGTATAAGCTGCTTGTATATTTTGGAAATTCTTTGTCTGTTGTTTCCTTTGCTATTATTTTCTCCCATTCTGAGGATTGTCTTTTTGCCTTGTTTGTAGTTTCCTTTGCTGTGCAAAAGCTTTTAAGTTTCATTAGGTCCCACTTGTGTATTCTTGTTTTTATTTCCATTAATCTGGGAGGTGGGTCATAGAAGATCTTGCTTTGATTTATGTCATCGAGTGTTCTGCCTGTGTTTTCCTCTAAGAGTTTAATAATTTCTGGTCTTAGGTTTAGGTCTTGAATCCATTTTGAGTTTAGCTTTGTGTTTGGTGTTAGGTAGTCTTCTAATTTCATTCTTTTGCACGTAGATATCCAGATGTCTCACTTATTGAAGAGACTGTCTTTGCCCCGTTGTATATTTTTGCCTCCTTTGTCAAAAATAAGGTACCCATAGGGGTGTGGGTTTATCTCTGGATTCTCTATCTTGTTCCATTGGTCTATATTTCTGTTTTTGTGTCAGTACCATACTGTCTTGATGACTGTAGCTTTGTAGTATAGTCTGAAGTCAGGAAGGTTGATTCCTCCCGCTCCATTCTTCTTTCTCAAGACTGCTTTGGCTACTCAGGGTCTTTTGTGTTTCCATATAAATTGTGAAATTTTTTGTTCCAGTTCTGTGAAAAATGCCATTGGTAATTTTGATAGGGATCACATTGAATCTGTAGACTGCATTTGGTAGTATAGTCATTTTCACAATATTGATTCTTCCTACCCAGGAACATGGAATATCTCTTCATCTGTTTATGTTGTCTTTGATTTTTTTAATCAGTATCTTGTAGTTTTCTGTATACAGGTCTTTTGTCTCTTTAGATAGGTTTACTCCTAGGTATTTTATTCTTTTTGTTGCAATGGTGAATGGTATTGATTCCTTAATTTCTCTTTTTGATTTTTCATTGTTAGTGTATAGGAATGCAAGTGATTTCTGTGTATTGACTGTATCCTGTCACTTTGCTGAATTCACTGATTAGCTCTACTAATTTTCTGATAGTTTCTTTTGGGTTTTCTATGTGTAGTATCATGTCATCTTCAGACTGTGAGAGTTTTACTTCTTTTTGATCTGGATTCCTTTTGTTTCTTTTTCTTCTATAGTTGCCATAGCTAGGACTTCCAAAACTATGTTGAATAATAGTGGTGAGAGTGGACATCCTTGTCTTGTTCCTGATCTTAGAGGGATTTATTTACTTATTGTCATCACCTTTCTGAGGTGTTCTTTCTGAGGAACTTGAGGCCCAGAGAGATTTAATTACTTACCTAAAGTTACATAGCTAATAAGTAGAAGAGCTGTGATTCAGACTTGACTTTGACTCAAGCCTGTGCTTCTAACCTCTAGGTTATTTAAATTATTTAGTTTCAAGAAAGCTTAATATTTTTCTTTATTAAGACCAACGAATATGTAGGTTTGTTCAGCTTTGACTTAGTTTACTTTTACTGCTTCTTAGTTTTTATGCACACAGCTTACTAGTCTTCTGTGAGAACATTGCCGTTCTCTTTGTAGGAGTCCTTTAGGCATTTGGGTAATGGGATTTCAGATGATCTGTCAAGTGAGGATGACGGCGAAGCCCAGACACAGATGATGATACTGCGGAGGAGTGTGGAAGGGGCCTCAAGTGACAACGGTTGTGAAATTAAGAGTAGAAAATCAATACTTTCAAGACACCTAAACACTCAGGTAATTTTTATTTTAGTCTGTTAAAAGTATAGGTATTAATTCCCAAGTAACAAAGTATTTAACATTTTCCTGTCATTTGTGGTCTTGATTTTTGGCAGGTAAAAAAGACCACTTCCAAGTGGTGCCCTGTTGTGCGGGATTCAGATAGTCTGGCTGAATCGGAGTTTGAATCAGCAGCCTTCAGTCAGGTAATGTATCCTTTTTCAAGGCATATTCTTGAATGTAATAAGTTTATCCATTCCTTTTTTTTTTTTTAATTGGATGCAGAGGAGGGGGCTAGCAAATATACACATAACTTTAGGATAACCAATTGAAAAAAAAAAAAGAATGGGTAAAGGGCTTCCCTGGTGTCTCAGATGGTAAAGAATTTACCTGTAATGCAGGAGACCTGGATTTGATCCCTGGGTCAGGAAAATCCCCTGGAGAAGGGAATGGCTACTCATGCATTCCAGTATTCTTGCCTGGAGAATTCCGTGGACAGAGCTGCTTGGTGGGCTACAGTTCATAGGGTCACAGAGAGTCAGAAATGACTGAGTGACTGACACTTTCACTTTTTCCTCTGCCTCCAACTGTCTACCTATTTAGCAGCTTTTTTTTTTTTAAATCTATCAGCTTTTATGTGACTAGTCACCCAAGAAAAAGAATGAGCTCTTTGTCTTTGACCTGATCTTAAAAGTATCATAGATGATGCCCAGAAAGAGATTCCTCAATCCCTAGATGATGAGAGCCAGAATACTGGAGTGGTTAACCGTTTCCTTCTCCATGGGTCTTCCCAACCCAGAGATCAAACCGAGGTCTCCCGCATTGCATGCAGATTCTTCACTGTCTGAGCCACCAGGGAAACCCACTTAATATTCACTTGGAATATGGAGTTTATTCTTAAGCATTGTTTCTGTGTAAGTGGCCTTGATGCTGATGAGGACAGATATTTGAGAAGTGAGAGATGGGAGCAGTAAGTCTGCTTATCATGAAAGCTAATGGACATTTTGTACATTTGCTGTGTTGTGCTTAGTTGCTCAGTTGTGTCTGACTCTTCGGAACCCCACAGACTATACTGGCTCTGTGAGGTTTCTCCACACAAGAATACTGGAGTGAGTTGCCATGTCCTCCTCCAGGGGATTTTCCCAACCCAGGGATCGAACCTAGGTCTCCCACATCGCAGGTGGATTCTTTACCATCTGAGCCACCAGGGAAGCCTATTGTACATTTGAGACATTATAATTCAGAGATGAGGGGAGGAGATGGTGGTAGCTTTTGATTGGCAAGGTTGTTGGGTTGTGGAAAAACTTTCATATTTGTGTTTATACTGCAGAAGAGCTACAATGTCCATACTTTCCTCTGCTTGATTACCCTTTTCCCTGTTTGGCTGGGTTCCCAGATGTGATTGTGTCTATGAGCAAGCTCACAATATTTAGAGTAGAAGACACTGTGGGTGTGCCAGTAGGCTCAGCCACACCTACTCCCAGAGTCAACCCTCAGAATGTGTTTGCAGGAGTCACTCCCACCCCAGGGCGCCTCAGCTGAACAATCCCATGACTTGGCAATACTTCTCAGAGAGAGTCCTCTTTTATAGTTTGTTAAGAGTCATCAGAGTTCACGTTTAAATATGAAAGTATATTATTGTTATGTGAAATCTTGTCAATAAAGGCATGGTGATCAGTTTATGAGAGCATGCCAGTCATCACCATAGGTGCCTTGTTTTCCTTTTATTTCAGATACATAGTTGTTTTTAAAAATGAATGAAAAAAATTTTTTTTGGTTTTTGTTTTTCCCTTAAAGGGCTCTAGGTCTGGCACGAGTGGTGGCTCCCGAAGCCTCAACATGGTGAGAAGAGATTCGGAGAGCACCCGCCACGACTCGGAGACAGAGGACATGTTATGGGATGACCTGCTGCATGGCCCTGAGTGCCGGTCATCTGTCACCAGCGACAGTGAGGGAGCACATGTGAACTCCTTTCACTCAGGGACCAAACGGGATCCCAAAGAGGATGTTTTCCAGCAGGTCTGTAAAGGTGATGATTTACTGACCTTTAATATTTACTGTGTACTTACCATGTGACAGGCACCGTATTATCTCTTTTAATTCTACAATAACCCTGTAAGGTGGACCCTTATTATCCCTAATTTAGAGATGAAGAAATTGAGCGTAATTTGTAAGTGAAGATGTTGGGCTCAGTACTCAGAAGAAAGCACTCTCTAATTCCCCTAACCTAACTGTTTCTTCCTAATACCTTTCCTTATTTTCCTTAGAATCATCCTTAATTTTCATTTTATACGAGCAGGGTTGCAGTAACCTCATATTGTATTTTCAGATATATCACAGTATTTTATGTGAATTACTAGGAGATGACATTGCTTTCTTCTCTAATAATGTATAAAGCAAGAGGTGCTTTTAATTTCAGGTTCTCTTTTAGTATCATAAAATCAGATAGCCTGGAAATGGGGATCCTTAGGTTATTTCAAACTTCCAATCTAGGAATTCATTCTTCAGAAATGTTTTTACTTTCTGTCATGTAGTAACAATAGTCCCTACTTCTTAGGAACATTGTGATATATCTAATGAGATAATTTAAAGTGCTTAGCACAATCTTGGCAAAGAGTAAGCAGCCAGTACATGTTAGCTTGGTTATTACTACTTCTGTCAGATGACTGGTTACTCTCTACTTAAATACTTGTGGCGCTGCAATGATTATTTCATGAGCTTGTCCCACTGCTCGCTGGACTGAGTGATTAGAAAATGGTTTTCCTATCAGCCCTTCCTATGTTTATGCCAGTGATCATGACTCTTCTTAGTTTTGTTTTTTCTTTTGTTTTTTCCACAATGACTTAATAAATAGTGGATGTGGGATATTCATTTGTTTAATTATTGAATTTTCTTGATTCTAAGATACCTTAGATTTAGGTTATACATTATAATGAAAAACAATCTGCTTCATTAAATGTATACAATTTTCTTAAACTACCTGGAAACAACATACACTTTATCACTAAAGTTTTAAACTTTCCCCTCCAATTTTGCTATCAAAATTTGAATCTAAATATTCTTTCCATTCAGTCTGAGGACTCATCTAAATTACATTAGCCTTTGGTAGTAATGCATAGCATCATGATGATTTCTGCCTTTGTACTTTTGGGATTTATGGTATAATTTTAAGGCATATGTAAGAATAACTAGGTTAAGATGAAACTCACCATGTTAAATAAAGTACATCATTTCCCAGTTCTCCCACCTAACATGTTCTTTTTTTAGTCCCCATATTTCTAAATACCACCACTAACCACCCAAGTCAGAAACCTTGGGGCCATTCTTGATGCCACCACTGCCCCCCTCAACGCCACCCACCCCCCACCAGCCCCTGGCTGCCGTCCCTGATATCTAATCTATCATCACATTTTCTTGATTCTGCTGTGTAATATCTGCATCTGCTCATCTGTGTCCACCCTGCTTAGTGGATGGCTCTCATCTGGATGCTTAGAACAGCTTCTTTAGTCTTATTCCCTTTTGCTTCATTTTCCACACTACAGCCAGAATGATGCTTCTGAAATACAAATCTGGGACCTCCTGGTGGTCCAGTGGTTAAGAATCTGCCTTGCAATGCAAAGAACATGGGTTCAATCCCCAGTCAGGGAACTAAGACCCCACATGCCTTGGGGAAGCTAAGCCTGTGCGTCACAGCTAGAGAGTCCACAGGCTCTGGAGCCCACACACCACAACTGCAGAGCCCATGCACTGGAGCTATGACCCAAATCAGCCAAGTAATTAAATAAAATTAAAAAAATAAAATACTAAAATTGTTTTTTAAAAGGGCAGATCTGATGCCATTCCCCTTACAATGCTTTAACTGCTTTCTTTTTCCTTTTGGATTATTTGCTTCTGTTTATTTGCTGTGATACAGTCTCATATGGTATAGTTCGACTCAACTGAACTTCTTCCAGTTTCCTCATGTACTTCCGGGTCTTTCCACAAACTGATTTATTTGCCTGAAACACATTTTTCTCCAGTCCTCATTCCTTTGGGTCACTCCCTTTTGTCTTTCAGGTCTTGGCTCAGTTGATACTTCCTTAGGAAGTTTTTTTAATATGCTCCTAAAGCATTCTTCCCTTCCCTATCACACTATGCAGGAACTTTATTTAATCATGTCTCCTTTATAAGTCTGTAAACTCCTTGATGGCAAGAACCTTGTATCTTTTTCTCCATTATATACATAGCTCCTGTTAATAGTAACTGCTTAATAAATTTTTTTTTGGCTAAATCAGTTAATAGATCCATAAATGCTCATCAGCATTGTGCTGAGCATTGTTGTAGGAGAAGAAATATGCCATATGATCTTTAAAAAAAAATAACTTATGTATTAGTCTGGGAATAAGATGATTTTATGGAAAACAAGTAGAGGGCACTATAAAAGCAGCAGCATATAATTAGATGCAGATTTGTCTGCTGTAGACTGTACAGGCTTTTGATTGATCCAGAAAAGGGCAATATGAGAGAGACTTGGGGTGATCAGAGGACATGTTGATAAAATGGACTTGAGTTGGGACTTAAAGAACAAGACATGACATGGCAGAGGAAAGTGCTGGGTTGTTTTCATAGTGACCTTCTCTTGCGCTGTCTATGCTTTTCCATGTCCTGATTAGACCAGAGAAAGGCTTACCTCCTTACCATTCCTGTGATATCTAAGCCTTGTTAGCGCCTCTCCTACCTAACTTCCTACTTCCCCTGGTCTAGTCATGGTGCTATGGAAATACTCTCCTCCTTGATATCCCATGAATATACCAAGCTTATCCTCACTTCCATATGCTTAGAGGAGGGGAGCAACTTCGGAGAGCATGGAATCCTACCTCCCATCATCACAGAAGACTTACAGCCTCTCTTCAGGTAAGAAGTTGGCTTAGTGAAGAGAAAGGACCAGAAGCCGGCATCGTGGAGGTGGTGACTGGAGTGATGGGCTTTGTGAAGGAGAGGACAGGATGACAAGGCAGAGCACTGGCGAATGTGGCCTGGGAACTGGACAAAGGGAAACAATTCTAAAGGAGGAAAGAATGAGTGGGTGGAAATATTTATTTTTTTCTTTTCAGAACCATTTATTCTGGCTTCAGAACTCAAGTCCTGCCTCTGATCGAGTTAGTGCAATAATCTGGGAAGGGAATGAGTGCAAAAAGATGGATATGTCTGTGTTGGAAATAAGTGGCATCATCATGAGCAGGGTAAGGTTTAATAAGTTTTCAGACTTTAAAAAAGATCTGTTTTATAATCGGCAGCTATTTCGTTGCAGAAGGAAATGGCAACCCACTCCAGTATTCTTGTCTGGGAAATCCATGGACAGAGGATCCTGGTGGACTGCAGTCCATAGGATCACAAAGAGTTGGGCCCAACTGAACACACACGCACACACAGACAGCTATTTCAGATTGTATTTAATGATCAAAACATTGACTCTGTTTTTGAGACACAAGTATGTGTACCTTAAATTTTGTAGCCAGTTTTCACTTGGTAGTGTGTTTTTTAATTTGTTACAAAGGTCTCTGTGAGCCTGATCAATTATTCAGGTAGACTTTACAAATATTTCTTATTTAATCCTACAAGTCATACATCTGTACATCATTTTTATTTGTATTTCTTTTAGAACAGATTTCATTTATAATAATCTAAGTAGTATTTGACAAATGCTGCTTCACAACTCCATATAGCTGCGCAATAATGATAGCTGTTTTAAATTAATTTCCAGGTTAATGCATATCAGCAAGGAGTAGGTTATCAGATGCTGGGAAATGTCGTCACCATTGGATTAGCATTTTTCCCTTTTTTACATCGGCTGTTCCGTGAGAAGAGCCTTGACCAGCTAAAGTCCATCTCAGCTGAGGAGATCTTGACTCTCTTTTGTGGGGCACCACCTGTTACACCTATTATTATTTTGTCTATAATTAACTTTTTTGAGCGACTGTGTCTTACCTGGATGTTTTTTTTCATGATGTGTGTGGCAGAGAGAACATATAAACAGGTCAGTAGAAAATTGAGTAAACTTTCTCACCTCTTTTTTTCTATATGATACTCTGTTGAGTTGATTTTGTTGTCTTGATTTGTTCTCTATCCAGAAGCTAACATGGGCAGTGGAGGCTTGATAAATGGACTTTTGGTATTTGTGGGTTTAACACTTCTGATATTGACTATTTACAAATGACATGCTGTAATCTGAAATTTTACTGAGCCTATATGTAGGAGTAAGTGGCTGAGCCTAGCTGATTCCTCGCACCTGCTCGTTGATGTGCCTCAATGTGTTTTATATCTGTAGAGTGTGTAGTAATTCCAAGGTGAAAATGATTCTGAAAAATGGCCAAGTGAGAAATAAATTTATTGAAATTGGATAAGAGTTTGGGATTGAGGGCTTATATTGGTGATATGTGCAAAAAAAATACAGTTTTTGAATGGAAATGTAATTTGAGAGTAAGCTTGAATTTTGTATAAATGTTTGAATTTGTCAAGGGTGGGATTCATAATGGTCTCCAAGGTGTATTCCTTGAAAATGTCCAGAGTGTACTATATCAGAAGAATGTGTACATGCGTGTTCAGTTGTGTCCAATTCTTTACGACCCTTTGGACTGTAGTCCAAGCTACAAGCTCCTCTGTCCATGGGATAATTTAGGCAAGAATACTGGAGTGTGTTGCCATGCCTTCCTCCAGGGCATCTTCCTGACCCAGGGATTGAACCCGCATTTTCTGTGTCTCCTGCATTGCAGGTGGATTCCTTACCTACTACTACTGATTCCTACCTACTGAGCCTTTGGGGAAGCCCCCATGAAGAAGTCACTATGACAGGAAGTGAAAAAGCATTGTTAATAGCTCATTAATCTGTTGCTACAGAAAGCACATTATACATAATGATCAGAACTTGGTTCTTTATTTTTTATGTGCTGGGAATATTTTACAATTATATAAGTAGATACACAATGACACATACATACATTTCACTTTATGGTTTTTTTTTTTTTAACCTCCTCTAGAGATTTTTATTTGCAAAACTCTTCAGCCATATTACTTCTGCCAGGAAAGCTAGGAAATATGAAATACCTCATTTCAGACTTAAAAAGGTGGAGAACATTAAGATATGGTTATCACTGCGTTCCTTTCTAAAGGTGAGTTTTAACTAACCATCGAATATCTGCAATAATACACAGAAAACATGCTCATTGAAATTTCTGGTGGCAGATATTCACTAGGCTGGGTAGTCCTATGTTCTGGACAGATTATATCAGTGACTGACATCTAGCTCACCTGTTTGACACCAGATTGGGAGTGATCTATCTGCAGAGCTGGTAGAGCTAATTAAATAAGGGCTTGGAAAGGGAAAAGAAAATTTAAACTCTTAGGGCAGAGTGATAAGCTGAATGTTGCATCTTTTTCTGACTTCTGGGGAAACATTCCCACTGAAAATGTGTTAGTGAATCAATCACACCCTTAACTTGAATGGCATGAGTCTCAGAGCTTAATTAAAGTTGAAGGTGTCCAAAATATATTAAAATCCTGTGTCAGAAACTTCTTATAAATGTTCATTTTCACACCAACATAGTAAGATTAGGTCCCCTAATCTGTCTTCGGCGGGGATCTAAAACGCTAACCTGTGTCTCACTGTCTAGAGACGGGGCCCACAGCGATCAGTGGATGTGGTTGTGTCTTCCGTCTTCCTACTGACACTTTCCATTGCTTTCATTTGTTGTGCCCAGGTAAGAGTTTCAGATCTATTTCAGTGGAAAGTAGAAAACAGAACTCGCTTTCTGTTTTAGGCTAGTTCACTGTATTTAAGTGAATACACTCACGCACACACACATACACATACGCATATGCAACAGATGTTTGTTTCTGACAGCTCTTGGAACCGGGGAGTCCAAGGTCAAGGTGCCAGGATGGTTATGTTGAAGTATTGGGTTGGGCCAAAAAATTTGTTTGGATTTTTCTGTAAGATGGTACAGAAAAACCATACTAACTTTTTGACCAATCCTGTGTGTGTGTGTGTATTTAATGTGTCTAAATTTCTTTTGCTATTTTGAATACTTGTTAATTTTTATGACTTTTGAAATGAGAATAAGAGTAATTTTTAGTCCTTTAAGACTCTGAGATCATGGTAACTTAATTTTAATTGGAAGTTTTTGATTGGTTATAAAGCTATATATCATGATGGGTACAAAATAGTGATTTTTCTAACTTCATCATTTCTTCTAGTTTTATTGTCACTCTAAAGTAGACTTTTCCTCGTTTATTTAATCATTCATTCATATATTATGTTATGGATTCCTATGTTCTTTTTATCCAATGGATTATAAACTATTGCTATATTGTTTTAATGCTTAATTGTCCCAGATTTGGCCAGCAGGAGACCCTTAAAGTACCTTCCTATGTTCTTTGGAGAGGTCCCTATATATTTTTTGTTTCTATTTCTGTTTTCTTTTTTATAAGAATTTACAGCCTTATTCTGTACTTTTCCACTTACTGAGTTTTAATTCTGCGACAGTCAGAGAACATGCTCTGAATGTTTTCAGTCCTTTGAAGTATGTACAGACTTGTTTTATTATCCAGTACATGGTCAATTTCATTAAATCTTCCATTAGCTCTTTGAAAGAATTTTTATTCCATTGTTTTGGAGAGCAGTTTTCCTTCTCTATAAATTAGCCCAAGTTTATTAGTTGTATGGCTGAAATTTCCCATATTCTTACTCGTCTTTTTGGTTTGCTTATTTTATAAACCATTGAGAGAAGTGTGGTCATGTCTGCTCTGATGGTGGATTTATCTTTTTCTCCTTTTGTTTCTGTCAATTTTTGCTTTATATGTTTTTAAGCAGTATAATTGGGTGCATGCAGACTTAGAATTGATATCCGTCTCCTTGGTGGATTGACTTTTATGTAATTTATAGTCTTTTTTTTTTCCCTCAATCCAGGATCACATATTCATTTAGCTGTCATCTCTCATCTGTCACTTAGCTCTTTAATCTCCTTTAACCCTGAACAGTGTCAAGCTTTGTCTTTCATGAACTGATACAATGTTTCTGTCTCTAATGTATCTTAAAGTCTACTCTGATGTTAATTTAACTATACTGTCTTTTGATTAGTTTTTGTATGCTATGTCTTTGTTTTCTACCCCTTTTCATTTATTTTTTCTTCATATTTTAGTTGCCTTTTATAGTCAGCATATTGATTGCTTGTTTCTTTTTTTTTTTTTTGCTGTTGATCTATCAAAATGCTCTAATATCTTTAGTGATATCTCTTTGTCAGTGTTGAAAATTTATTTATTTTGGCAACAAATCTGAGTTTGCTGCAAAATATTTTATCTTTCTGAGCTCTATCTTTTTTATTAAAATTGAAGTATAGTTGATTTACAGTGTTATGTTAGTTTACGGTATACAGCAAAGTGATTCAGTTATACATATTTATACATGTTTTTATGTAACTGTATATTTTCTTTGCAGATTCTTTTCCCTTATATGGGCTTCCTTGGTAGGTCAGATGGTAAAAAAAAAAATCCTCCTGCAATGTGGGAAACCTGGGTTTGATCTCTGGGCTGGGAAGATCCCCTGGAGGAGGGCATAGTAACCCACTCCAGTATTCTTGCCTGGAGAATCCCCATGGACAGAGGAGCCTGGTGGGCTACAATCTGTGGGGTCGCAAGGAGTCGGACATGACTGAGTGACTAAGCGCATAGGTTATTATAAATATTGAGTATAGTTCCCTGTGATATATATATCACATCTTCTTTATCCATTCGTCTATTGATGGACATTTATAGTGCTTCTGTGTCTTGACTGTTGTAAATAGTGCTGCAATGAACATTGGGATGCATATATATTTTTCAGTTGTAGTTTTGTTTGGATATATGCCCAGGAGTAGGATTGGAGGGTCATATGTTGTAACTCTTTTTAGTTTCTTAAGGAGCAGTCATATTCTGCCTGGTGATAGTACCAATTTACATTCCCATCAACAGTGTAGGAGGGTTCCTTTTTCTCTACACCCTCTTCAACATTTATTATTTGTAGACTTTTTGATGATGGTCATTCTGACTGAAGTGAGGTGATACTTTATTGTAGATTTGTTTTGCATTTTTCTAATAATTAGCAGTGTTGAGCATCTTTTCATGTGCTTTTTTGTCATCTGCATGTCCTTTTTTGGAGAACTGTCTACTTAGATCTTCTGTCCATTTTTTAATTGGGCTAATTTGGGTGTTTTTGTTATTGAGTTGTATGAGCTGTTTGTATATTTTGGGAATAAAGCCCTGTTGGTCTCATCATTTATAAACATTTTCTCCCATTCTGTAATTTGTCTTTTTGTTTTATTTGTGGTATCCTTTGTTGTGCAAAAGCTTTTAAGTTTAATTTGTTCCCATTTGTTTATTTTTGTTTTTATTTCCATCACTCTAGGAGCTGGATCCCAAAAGATATTGCTGTGATTTATGTAAAAGAGTATTCTGCCTGTGTTTTCCTCTAGGAGCTTTATATCATAGTATCCAGTTTTACATTTGGGTCTTTAATCCATTTTATTTTTGTATATGGTGTTGGAGAAATTTTATAATTTCGTCCTTTTACACTTAGCTGTTCATTTTCCCAGCATCATTTATCAAAGAGACTGTTTTTTCTCCATTGTATGTTATGTTCTTGCCTCCTTTGTCATAGATTAATTGACGACAGGTCTGTGGGTTTATTTCTGGGCTTTCTATCATGTTCCATTGATTTTATTTCTGTTTTTGTGCCAGTACCATACTGTTTTTATTACTGTAATTTTGTATTGTAGTCAGAAGTCAGGGAGCCTGTTTGCTCCAGATGGCTTTGGCTGTCGACATATTTTGTGTTTCTATACAAATTTAAAAAAATTTTTTTGTTCTAGTTCTTTGAAAAATTTCATTGGTAATTTGATAGAGATTGCATTGAATCTGTAGATTGTCTTGGGTCATATGGTTATGTTAACAACGTTAATCCTTCCAGTCCAAGAAACCAGTATCTATATGTATATATCTTTCCATCTGCTGTGTCATCTTCAGTTTCTTTCATCAGTGTCTTATAGTTTTTGGAGTACAAGTATTTAGCCTCCTTAAGTAGGTTTATTCCTAGGTATTTTATTCTTTTTGATTTGATGGTAAATAGAATTGTTTCCTTAGTTTCTCTTATCTTTTGTTGTTAGTGTATAGAAATGCAACAGATTTCTGTGTATTAATTTTGTATTCTGCAACTTTACCAAATTCACTGATGAGCTCCAATCATTTTCTGATGGCATCTTTAGGATTTTCTATGTACAGTATCATATTGTCTGCAAACTGTGACACTTTTACTTCTTCCTTTCCAATTTGGGTTCCTTTTATTTATTTTTCTTCTCTGAATCCTGTAGCTAGGACTTTCAAAAGTCCTAGCTTCTTTCTGTTGAATGAAAGAAGTGAAGTTGGGCATCCTTGTCTTGTTCCTGATCTTAGAGGAAATGCTTTCAACTTTTCACTGTTGAGTATGATGGTAGCTGTGGGTTTGTGATATGTGGCCTTTAGTACATTGAGATATGTTCTCTCTATGTCCAGTTTAATGGGAGTTTTTAATCATTAATGGATATTAAATGTCAAAAGCTTTTTCTGCATGTATTGAGATAATCATACAGTTTTTATTCTTCAGTTTGTTAATGTGTAGTGTATCACACTGATTGATTCGTGGATATTGAAAAATCCTTGCATCTCTGAGATAAATCCCACTTGATCATGGTGTATGATCCTTTTACGGTATTGTTGGATTCAGTTTGCTGCATCTATGTTCATCATGGTTATAGGCTTACAGTTTTCTTTTCTGTGTGTGATTTCTTTGTCTGGTCTTGGTGTCAGAGTGATGATGGCCTCATACAGTGAGTTTGGAAGTGTTCCTTCCTCTGCAGTTTTTGGGAATAATTTCAGAAGGATAGGTATTATCGCTTATTTAAATGTTTGGTGGAATTCGCCTATGAATCTCTCTGGTCCTGGAGTTTTGCTTTCTGGGAGTTTTAAAATCATAGATTCAATTTCAGTATTTGTGAATGATCTATTCATATTTTCTATTTTTTCTTGGTTCAGTCTTGAGAGAGTGTACCTGTCTAGGAATTTGTCTGTTTCTTTTAAGCTGTCTGTTTTATTGATATATAATTGCTTGTAGTGGTTTCTCATTTCTAATTAACTGATTTGGTCCTTCTCCCCTTTTTTCCTGAAAAGTCTGGTTAAATATTTATCTGTTTTGTTGATCTTTTCAAAGAACAGACTTGGTTTTATTGATCTTTTCTGTTGTTTTCTTAGTCTATTTCATTTATCTCTGCTCTGATCTTTTTGATTTATTTTCTTCTAGTACCTTTTGGTTTTGTTTGTTCTTTCTCTAGTTGCTTTATGCATAAGGTTAGGTTGTTTGAGATTTTTCTTCTTTCCAAAGGCAAACTTGTATCCCTCTAAAGAACTGATTTTCTGTGTCTGATAGGTTTTAGATAATTGTGTTTTCATTTTCTTTTGTCTCTAGGTATTTAAAAAATTTTTTCTCTTTGATTTCTTCAGTAATCCATTGGTGGTGGTGGTGGTGGTGGTGGTTTTTATATTGGTGAGAACTCAGGCACATAGCTATACCTAGTTACAATCAAGATTGAGGAAAGGATTCTAGCCTGTTCAAAAGGCCCAGGAAAAGGTGGGGGGCCCTGTTTGAAAAAGCAGGAAAAAAGTGCTGTTAATGATACCAAAATATAAAGCTTTT